TCTCAGAGCGCCCTAAATCTTTTACTTTATTCGTGTGAGCCTCCTTTGCATTCAATCAGCGGTTTCTCAAATCTCAACTGTTACTTTGTCACGCAAATCCACTAAAATTGCACTTTTTTAGGTACGATGCTTGAAATTGATTTCAGATTTTCCCCCTTCATTCTTGCTTTGTGCAGTACGGTGGATCATTCTAGTAGGTTTGTATCTGTTCAACACATCTACTGTCGGAAATTCAGAAGTGTGGACCATTGTCGAAATGCCATGACCTTAGACCAGAAACCTCCCGCGTAATTGATATGCAAGTCCTTCAAAGCTTCGTGGGATGCAACTTTTAGCTCTACCGCGACCTCCCGGAGCACGACCGTAAAATAAACACCGACGGATACAAATAAAAAATCACACCTGGCAAAAATGTTTTCACAGCTAGGACAGTAGAGCTCGCCTAAAATTGGGTCAAACGTTTTTCATTCATTTGCGTGGGAGCCCGCGTGGGTGGAAAATTAGGATCGGAATGAGGTGTAGCTGAACATTTACAGTTACAGTTCTTGATGTACTTCCTGAGGAAATCGCAGATACCCATATATGATCGTGAATTGAGCCAGAACCAGCTACGCGACTTGGAACATCTCAGCAGAAACCTTACACAATCTCACACAATCCTAAATGTTGCGCGATGACCATTGATAAAGAAGACATTCCCCGATGGCTGAGTCTACTAATCGTGTCTTGCGTAAGTTCATCAGTTTTCCTCTCACTGGTCATTAACTCTAATCCATATCTCACGAGTGCAACTGGTTACGCCGATGGAGGTGACATGTATTCACATCAGATAGACGCTCTTTACCTAAAGGAGCTTCTGCAAAGTGGTGCAACAGATTTTTGGTTCGACGAAGTCACGTTAGGTTACCCGTATTTCCTCGCGTATCAACCATTTCCGAGTTTATTTACGTCTATTCTGATGATCCTCTTGGAATCGTAAGTACCAATAACTCTTTATCTTAATGCTACGAGTCAGTAAACGAGGGAAATCCTAGCCAAGGGTGTGTTTGGACCCTATATGATAAAGAGGCCGGGTTTCGAAAACCTGCTAAATGCAAAGATGGGACCGACGGGTTGCAGTGTCTGTCGGGGGCAACCCATTTATATATAAACTATTGATATAAATTAAATAGAGTCAATGAAAAACATTGGAAGGTTACTGAAATTTGTGCACGTCAGGTCTAAAAAATCTTTAAAAAAATCATACAACTAAGAAATCTGGTAAGTTTAATTTGAAAACTATAGCTCCACGCGCGACACGTGAAAGGATCTGGTGACAACTTGGACACGTGCATGATTTAGAAATTATGTAACCGGAACGAAGCGGTTATGTAACACGCTGTCAACAGTGTAATTGTCGAAAAATCTTGAAATCTTGTAATACGATCGTAGTTATTGTGAAATGTTGAAGCGACAGTGTAAAAGAAAAGGAGCGAACAACGAATGTAAGNCATCAGTGCGCCTGCTAAGACTGAAGGCAATCGTCAGCGGTCACCCTTGCGCAAATAGTGGACGCTAAATTGACTAATGGGGGTGCTTTAATTGAGCTGTGTTAGTAAGTAGTTAATCCTCATTTCAATGATAAAACATAAAACTTTAGGCAGTGAAGATTACACCCTTATCCTGGAAATACTTTTTGTTTGTTTGCTTTTGTTTTTGGGTTTTTGTGTTTTTTCGTTATTTGGAAGCGGATGACTTTTCATTTGCATACCCATATCTCTTAATGTTGGTGGTAAACTCATGTCATTGAGTAGAAAACAATTAGGTATCCTACAAGAACAAATGTAGTTGAACTATGCCCGGTTGAATGATAATACCGTTTTTCAGTACTGAAATCAGATTAAAGAGTCATTGTGTAGTGTAAGGTTATCTCGCAGCTTGAACCGAGCACAAGGAAATCTAAAACTAAGCGATCCATCTCTACCACTTATTCATTGCTAAGTAAGAAACTGCAAAAGTCAGTGTAAAGTAGGGTAGCTTACATCCCGTCAGTTTCGCAAATGTTTGATTCCTCTTTTAACATTTCTTTTGCAACCACGTTCTTTGGAATGGACGATGCCGCATGTTCTAGTCAATACCTGTTCTACATGTCCAATGCGTCCTCTGATTATTAAAATGAAATGAGGCCTAGATAAAGCTATTAACAGACTCACCCTTAGGTTAGTGACATGGTTAGCAATGGCGACAGAAAGTCACCGAAAATGGGGAAGGTTGGCGGATCCACGTGGTAGTGTGTATTAGATGGGATAAAAATAAAAAGGTTTCCGAAACTATATAAGCTGGAAACTATACAATCATACTACATTGAGGTCGCTTAAAATCACGATGTTTTTCTACCATTTAAGGATCGCCCATCTATTCCTGTTGAAATCAGCGAGTTTCATTTGCTTCTAGCCAGCTTGAGATTGCCCTTTCTGTTATAGCGCGATGTCCTAAGCGGCCGGGAAAGAAGGAACAGAATTTAAGGGACGGTATAGATGAGGACCGTGAGAGGAATATAATACATCAATCTTGATTGAATACATAATCTTCATGAAAGAAATAACAATTTCTACATTTCTTAAGGTTCGCGCGTTCAAAAGTATTGGTGACAATTAATTTTGACACCTACTATCGGCTTAATAAAGCGTATATACTCGTATGGTTTAACTGTGGGTTGAAGATTCTTCCGAATTTATGGATGAAATTTATATTTGTTTGACAACACTCGAGGACGCCACGCGCGTGGAAGCTGATTTTGTTGTCGCGCCGCCGACGCAAGGAAATTCGTCTCAGCAAGGCCAGCAAGCCGATGAGCCAAGACATGGAGGTGGTGGCGGCTCAAAGGTAAGACTACCGAAATTACATCTACCGTCTTTCGATGGGAATTGCAAAGATTGGTCAGCGTTTTGGGACAGCTTCGATTCAGCAATTAATTCAAATCAGTTGCTCACTCCTGTTGAAAAGTTCTCTTATCTACGAGCGTCGCTTGGAGGATCTGCGGCGGCCACTATCAATGGTTTGAGTTTGTCAAGTGCGAATTATGAAGCAGCTGTGGCACTGTTAAAGGAAAGTGTTACGAGGATCGAATTATCTTCACTGAATCTGTCACGCAATCCCAGACTTTTCTAGAATTATCTATAATCTGTAATATTCCAGAAACTTCTTTCATGTGACTCAGCAGTTTCCAAAAATAGTACAACTTGTAATACGCTATAAATAGTAATAGAACATTCTAGATAACTAAAGTAAATGTATAAAAGCTGGCTTGTGAGAAGTACAAAAGAGATTTGCCCGAGGGCTTACCCTCGTGGCTTGCTGACTGAACTTTTGGAAGCTATGATATGACGAGGCTATGACCTTTTGACCTTGCGATATCCGGAGAGAAGAAAGAGATGAAAAAGACGATAGTCGAGAGAGGAAGAAGATAGAGAATACAGAGTTTACTATGGAGTCCTCCGGAAGAGTTTGTGTACAAGGAAAGAATGCGATAAATCAAGAAAGCCAAGCGCTGTGGTCTTCAGTCGGCGGATGTTGGAATTGGAAGTTGATCAAGACGACGAACACTTACACGGCATGAAGGATTGTAAGCCTGCTTTATGAACTGCTTAACTTAATCTTTAACCTAAGTAAATTAGACAATGTAAAACTAATTAAATAATAGTTAAAATGGGTAACTGCTTGTTGTTACATTTTTGTTGCGTGCCATATATCGTACTCGGGAGTCTATTTTCATATATGCTTTGTTAGCGGACATTTGTTGGTCATTCGTGCACGTAACAATATGAAGTTCATATATTTTGAACTGCGGTATTAGATACGTATATAAACACGGGTTTATTACNACTTTCTGGTTAAAGGTTTATCCCTCCTCTGTTACTGTTCCGTTGGATGTTTCTTGTTCTTCTTTCCGTAATGCCTTGGACATGGCTGGTTGGCCTGCGCAAGCTGGGAATGACACGACTCGAAGTAACTCTGGTGTCCTTGTGCGTGTATTCCATTCATAGTTGGCGAAAGTTTGGACTGGAACTCAGTGCCTTTCAACATTATGGGCTCTTCACCCAGGCTTATGGGATGGCTATATTCCCACTGGCAGGTAATCTGAGCGTGTAAGATACCAAAAGAATGCTGGGGCGGAGCTGAGAGTTTTCATAGGGGGGACGCGCGCGAAGGAGGGGGAAGGGGGTCACAGCTACGAATTTCCGCGAGCGTTACCTGAAGTGGCTTATACTGCTGCTCTTCCTTGCGTACCAGCGGACTCGTATTCATCCGAGGGGAAGGACCGGCCAACGCAGGTGGAGTCACTGCACTGGAAAGTAGTTAATTGATTAGTTGATACTTTGGATTTGCGCGTTTTTGCAAGCGCAAGGCGAAAGATATGTATGATGTTAACGCAACGGAACGGAACGTTAGCGAATAGATTTCATGTTGCCGTGCGCTTATTTTTTATTTTTAATAAGAGATCACAGATGACGTCAAAATGTAGAAAGAAGAATAAAAGTAGCACACGATGCGCAGCGGAGTGTATCACTGAAGTTCTTACCACATTTCTACGTCTTCTGTACTCTATCACTAAACTGACCCAAAGCTAGAGATCATCTCAAGCTCTGTCCTCCAATAGATTACAAGCAAGAACCAATCAAAAGTCCTGCGTAATTCATGATCAGCTTATGTAAATTTTAAAAGGCAACGAGCTCAATAAACTCACTTAAAATTCGTAAAATCTGCTTGCAGCTCATTCGAAGACGTGCAAAAACGGTTTAAATCTCTTGAGACGATCATTCATGTTTTTCTGTTCTTAATGACGTCTTTTTTTTTTTGTCATTCTAGCTGGTTTTTTATATGAGCACGTTCTTTATGGCCTTACCTCAAGATCTGCAACAGTCCTACTTGTGGCGCTCAACTTCATTGCGCATTCATTCTTCGGCATCTATCTCGGCATAGTGACCGGCGTAACTTTGGTGGTAGATCTGTTTACCAATCCGCTGCCTTTCAAGAGGAAGCTGTGTTCCCCTTCAATTTTGCGCGCATGTTCTGTGCACTTTTTAACTGTTGCTTTGCTATCATGGTGGATTTTCCCCTTGCTGGCAAATTTCAAATATGTTGGAGGTCTGCCTTGGAAAAATGAGGATGGGAATGGCTACAAGGCTGAATTTATCTTTAAGAAGTTATTTTCCGGCGAATTGTTTGACTACGAAAGAAAGGTTCCGTTTATTACGACGGGAGTGTTAGCAGGGTTAGTTTTTATTTGCTTCGCATGGCAAAGAAACAACAGAAATACATTTTTCTACTGTGGAAAACGGCGTCTATTGTTCATTTGGTTAGGTATTCTGTTCTGTGTGACTTTCTCTCTACTTCTTGGAAGAACAACTTTTGGAGCGTTTTACAACTTACTACCATTTCATGAAGAAATCGAGACTATTCGCTATTTGAATGGCATACATTTTTGTGGACTTCTTTTGCTTGGGATCTCTTTTTCATGTATCCTTCGTTTCTTGTGCACCGCGTTGTGCAGGATTTCGAGAGGTTTCTTCAAAACCCGGGTCGTCCTGATTGCAATGATGTTGGTTATTTCACCGGCTTTCCTTAGCTCCCAACTTCAACAAATAAATTCCTTTTTGTCGCTGACCGAAATCCATGAAATGCCCGAGGGGCTGAATGAAATGAAAAGTTACCGAAGCAATGGACGAGTTTTGGCACAGAAAGTGCTGGGTGAGTAACTTTTAGCTCTTCAACTCCAAAGAATGATTAGAATCTATTTTCTTCCATCATTAACACTCATGAACCAAACATTAAAGTCATGAGAGTGAAAAAAATAGTCGCTGCCTCAAAAAGCTCTTGATTGTTGAGAAAATTTTTTGGTGATTTCCACAAGAAATTTAATGAGGGTGTGGACAGGAGACTTGGGGATTTGATCGTTTTAGCCTGTGCCTCCATGGTCCATGACTCTGTCTACTTGTGCTGTTCTCAGTTGAATACCGTGAGTAATCTGGGACTTTGTAACGCACTGCACTGCTGAGAAAGGGATGAGAGTAAATGTGTGAACTATTCCCACCCCAACCCCCACCTTCCTCCGCCAGCCACAGGTGCCCGTTGTAGAGACTTCATGGCCATTAAAATACTTTTTTTTTTCCTTTTTTCTGTTTACAGGTACCGGTGATCCTTTGAGTTTAGCTCTCTTACCGCACTACAGTAAAAAACCTGGTGGGTCCTCATGTTTTTACTAATCAGTTATCAAACCAGCAGAAAAGTTGAAGTTTGTTTGTTTTTTAAGTTTTGTTATTTTTAGTCGTTCAAAGTATGGATCGAAGCTTTGTCCCCTCTGCATTTTCGATTCCAGAGTTTTTCTTTTTCGCGCGTGATTGGACGTGGGTGGAAGAGCCCTTGCGGTCTTACATAACCATAAGACACAAGGCTCTGTAATCGGGAACATGTCCACTGATAATGTGAACTGCTGAAACATACACCGTTGAAGAAGAAATGGCGTGATAAGTGCTAACTGAACTTGTAAATGGTGTCTTTTAATTAATCCATTCACTTCCAGGGTTGATCAAAAATGAATTTCTCGTTAAAATTTCGCTACAGTTTTACAGCTGGAAGATAATGTGAGGAAAGAAAATATCAGCTCCGTGATGTAATTTAATAAAACGCCAAATTCCTGCCTGTCTTTACCAAGAATGGGTACTATTGAACTGTCTGACTATATATATAGGAAAACCTTGAAGTTCATAAGGATGAGAAGAAAAAACTGAGCGTCTTGTCTAGCAATATTCTAAGTCGTTTCGTGCTACAGAACTTAGACAAGCTTCGAACAGTGTCTGAGCTAAATTAAACTTGTAAAATTGACGGTAAATTGCAGAAAAGATACCTGAGAAAAGGCAGGTCTTGATGGTATTCCCGCCCCATGCCTCGAAGATACTAGCTGGACCCCATAGTGGCGCCCAAATTGTATGTGGCAGGCACAATTTCGAAAATCGTTGAAGAATAATTTCTTTACTAGCATTTTACCTACAGCTCGTAATCTTTTATTTTCGTCTCATCGAAACCTTATTTCAATTTTTAATGAAATGAATTTCATCAGATTCTTTTAAGGGAAAGAAAAACCCTTTAAATTTTGCCTCGCTTTCAAAGTGAGGCTTTGTAGCTCAGTTGGTAGCCGCGCCTCAACTAGTGTCTGGGAGGCACTGGTTCGACTCCATCGCAGCCTGGATTTCGTCAGGCTTCTTTTCTGCAATTGCTTAAACTACAGCCCACCTACAAGGAATATTTATTTATTTGTTTGAATCCCTTTTAACTGAGATAATGGTATTTAGGAATTCTCACCTATTCCAGAGGCTATCACGACTCTCTCTCCCTCTACTATTTGGAGCTGTTATTACACAGTTTGGACACAACACCTTGGTTTCCTGATCTGCTTCGTCTTTATAACATTCGTTTCCTCGCTACATACGGGATAGAGGTACCCTTACACTTTCTGAAGGCTTGTCAGCTAAGACACCTGGCTTTCATAGGGAGCATGGAAGTTTACGTGAGAGAGCCCAAAGAGAATTATGGATATTTCGAGTTTGTGCATGTACCAGGTGCTATATTGGGTGATTTAAAAGGCATGCGCGAGGCTGTTGTTAGAATCACTCAACTGTTCACAAACAGAGCTGTATTTGCCGTGAATCCTAGCAGCCCACTCAACGATCCACCTTTCGAAATTGTTGTTTTTGATAGAGTTGCAGATGGAAACTTCCTCAAATTCCTCTCTTCCGAGGCGCCGAGGTTCGAGAACAAGTGGTTTGTCTCCAAGATGAGGGTAAAAGAGAAAGCTTTCCGCGAAGATGTGAAGTTTCAGCACTTTCCTGAAAGTGTTAGGTCAAGAGTTCTGCAAGAGGAAGTAGGAAAAACCTTCTACAGAGCTTATGTCCACGTACACGAGCGGGCATGGAGTAAGGTATGTTTGCCAGTTTTGGTATTAGGTCATCTCCTTTTTATTTCCCATGATTAGCCCCCTTCCCCCTTCGAATAAGCATTCCTCCCATCGGAAAACAATAAAAACAGAGTGTTTGCGTTATTTCGTCAAAATTTCGCTGTAGGCACTTTGTTTATCATTTCAGATCAGTAAATACCTCTAATCAACCGAGTTCGAGGTCCGTACTGTAGATTACGCAATGAATTTTTCCGTAAACGAGGTTATTGTGGCATATTTATTGTATCTCTCGGCTCAAATAGAGGGGAAGATTTTAATTTTAACAAACTCTTGAACGTAGCGGGCCGGACAATGAAATACGGCCCATTAAATTGACAAATTGTAGTGCATTTCTTGAGCTAAAATGACCACAAAGTTCTGCTCAAGTTGTGATATCTTAACAGGACGGCATTAACCCATTTATCCTCAAATTTTCTCAGTCTTCTCGTTCCTTTTTTCAGAATTTCTATGAGACCGAGCACCTTCTTCTGAAAGTGACGTATCATCCATACTGGAAATGCGCCTTCCATTCATCAGCGGAAACTATAGATGGCGCACGTGATTGGCATGAGGTTCTGGTGCATCACGTAACACCGAGTCTAATGAGCATTGTTTTACCTCCAGGGAAACACCACGTGATCTGTCAATACAAGAATCCCATTTGTCAGAAAGTGGGTTTTGTGTTGTTTCTTGTGAGTTTCATCGCCCTAATGGTGAGAGAAATAGTTGTATTCCTGCACTACCTACCTAGATGATCACGTGAAAAACGTTTTCCTTCTTGGGCCACTTTCTCAGTTGGAAATACGGAAGGAAATAACTAATCAAAACAAGTAATACCTGATTATGATGGCAATGTATACAAGTAGGTGGATGAGAAATATTTTGGAGAGGTAAGAGTGGGCGAGATAACTCGGAGGTTAACCCACTCTCTTTAGGATCAAAGGCCAAGTTCTCAATCCCTTGCAATTTCAAGGGAAATGTCAATCAACAAAACGACCAGTCATTTGGAGAAATTTTCAAAACTGCAAACTTCTTTATTTAGAAAAATAACTTAATGTCCATGTCATAACAATGTCGTGCTTTAACGAACAATATATAACTATGGACGTCCGATATAGAATATCGCAAGGGAAAGTATGCGAGAAAAACACTCTCAAGTAAACATCCTTACCGTAAAGAGAAATTTTTGGAGTAGATTCAAAAACAGAATATTTGATATCTTAATTTTGCTTGGTACAAAGAAGAGTGTGCCTCAGTCTTCCTTTAAACGGCAACGTTCGTGAAGTGCTCGGTTGTAGCAAAAAACGTCTGAACTTGTTACGTCGATTCATGATGGCTTGACATTACTAAATTAGGTGACACAAAGCGAATACATAATGGACAAATCTTTTTATCAACCTTTTCTGCGACATTGGAACGGTTCGACTCGAACAGTTTTTTTCTCGTATCATTCCGTGTATTGCAATTTGAAACATATTTCGAAAAATTCACGTTTGAACACATATTATTGTGCGCATCAAATGCTTCTCCAATTGCAACAACTTTGAGAATCGGTAAAAATGCTAAGGAACAGGTTGAACTTTTTCTTAGATCAAAAAGGATATATACATAGAAAGATTTTCAAAAACGCTTGTTTTCGCGTAAGAGGTTGTAAGAATATTTACAACGTGACGGAGAAAAGTCATACCGCACACCATTTAAACTGTCCTCGTGAAGACTAAAGCAATCTTAAATAATTTACAGATAAGCGTTAAGGAACATTAAGCCAATGCTTAAGTATTCTGGAAATCACTCAGGTTTAGTACTGCTCGGTACCAGTTTCCAAGAGCTTGTTGAGTTGCCTGGATCTAGTACGATGGCGACTCCAGCTAGGATCCAGTGTTCCGCGGTCTGGGAACATTTAATGGGTAAAGTAACTGAACAGCACTGCCGAGCCTTGGTGAAAAAGTGACAAAAAATTATATATTGGTCAGGTATGGCGTAGATACAATACAAATTACGACCAAGATATTCACCCGGAAAATGCGACGCCTGAAAACAAAAGAAAACTGCAACATCCACTCATAATACTGTATAGCAGATGGCTTGGACCCGACTCAAGTCCCTAACTTAAACACGAACTGGACAGAACAACCTAACTTTACCGACCCATTGAAGCTGACCAACGACATCACGACTGACAAACAACTCCTCGCCAAACTCTGATGATGACTTCCGCTGAAGTCATAGAAACCACAGTCTAACAAACGGTCTACCAACTTTAATACAAACAAATCACGCGAACAAAAAACGCTCTTGATCTTTTGAAACTGAAGTTTTGAGCAAGAACCATTGTAACACATACCCTATTCATAAACACTGGGCAGTGGTAGATTTCCAAATTTTCAGCTTCGCTCCTCTTATCCGATCCAGGTTCCTCCTCTTCCTCAGGTATAACAGCGGACACGAAGAGGTCTGGTAGTGATGAAATTGCCGACCTAATGGCAAAGAGAAAAACAGCAGTAGTAGGTTGTGAGACAAACCATTCATTTGTTTAGAGAGTTAACTTGCTACATCAATTTCCACAATTAAATATTTGTTTTCTTTCATAACAAAGGTAACAACGGCGTTTTGACCTCCGCGAAAGCACCGTCTATTTCTCCTGAATTTAGAACTCACTTAAACTACTTGACAAAACTTACGTTGCTTCTACGAGGCACTCTGTATCGAGGTCCAGAGACGCCCCCTCAATGTACAGCCCATTGATGACCAGGCCTTGCTCGGTCTCATCTTTCCTGCTGTCACGTGACATGTAGGACTTCGCCAAGGAACAACGAAGTTCCACCTTTGAAAAATTAGTCAAAATGCGATAAAATATCGATCTGTTGTCAGTATATATACAGATCTTAATTTCAGCATCGCTAAAAAGGATGAAAAATATAAAATTCGTATGATAAGGGGGAAAGATTGAAAGAATTCATTAAAGACTGTTTCCGGTACCGTCAATTAAGACGTTGAATTTGATTTCATCAGACAGCAAATCCTGCGATTTGTTTTCAGTGATAACATTACAGCGCAAATAGTAAACAACTAATAGTTCGGAATCATCTGAGTGTACAATTTAAGAATCTCCGTTCCGATTGGAGCTTAATCAGCGATGTAATATTTAACTTCGCATCCCTCCTCTCCCCTCCGAGCCATCAAGTTTATCGGTAAATGTATCATCAATAAAACTTCCACACACATTTCCAACAACTTCTCAATTGTGATAAAGGTAAAAGAGCTGGTTATGGTGATTATCTCAAATCGATTCAATCCCATCGTAAAGATGTTGAACTGAATGATAGGCACAATATCTAAAAAAAACAGCATAACGTTACCTCGTCCACGGTACATCCAACCATTGCAGCCTTCTCGTGTTTTAATGACGTTATCAATGCTCCAGGATTGGCCAGGCCACCAAGCCAAACGGAGGTCAGCTGGCCACGCCCTACCAAGGGCTCCGAGTTTGGATTTGGAATAACGCCACGTCGCACCCATTCACTAAGCTGCTTATGACGACGATTAAAGTCTGTTTGGATGGAGAAAATGACTTGTAAATACATTTTTTCTTATCCTTTTATCAAAAAGGAAAGGACTTTCACCGATTTTAAGTTGGCATTAGGTTAAAAACTCTTAGAAAACAGCAAAGGCAAATTACCGACACGATTTGAAAATAAGTTTGGAATTTATTTCTGTTATCGTGTTTACTTCAGATTTCGTTTAATGATTTGTTAAGTGATGAGTACTTTTTGCCATGAAAGAGTCGGAAGAGAAGCCTTTCTATTCCAATATCTGATTGGCTTTATTCTCGTTTCGCTGCAACTTACTCCATTGTAAATTATGAAAGGAAATCAACACATGTTAATGTTCTATCAAAATAACATCCCGCTGATATGTTTGCTAAGATCTTCAGCGGCTTGCTTATATAGTGCCGAAGTTGTGAAAGCTAACCAATCCTGAGAAGTTGAATGTCAATGAAAGTAAACAGAATCATTCAAAATACTATGACTTCGCCCCTTTTAAGGCCAATCAAAGGAAGATTTATACTTAATGTTAAATTACAACTTCTACTAAGAGTAAACTGTGTGCGTTACCTTTGAGCCAGGATGTTAAACTGTGGGGGGAGGGCTGAGCATGCGGATGCAACCAGTCACTGGGCACCATGTCCTGTTGAAGCGCATCAACGATGCGCGTTAAGTATGGTGGGATTGCTGGAGACCCTCCTAACACACACTGCTCCAGAATTTGCAGAGAGTGTCGAATGTGATAGAGAAGGCAGTTAAACCACTGGCATTCCTGAGAGAAGAAGAAAACAGAAGAAAAAAGGATATTACATGACGAGTTTTCAAATTCAAATTAAGCAAACAGACAACGCAACAGTTTCATTTCGAGGTCACAACTTGACTAGGTAAAAAAAATGTAAGCATTCAATCTTTGAATGCATTTCCTGACACCACCATACGGATTCACGACTATGGCTCCGCTTGAGAAAATGCATATCTAACTTTTGTATTAGTTACCATTGTTAAGGTACACCTCTATCCAGGGGACAATTTCTCGAAATCCAAATCATGCTTCCACCGTGAGACGTGGTTTGCTTGTGGACCATAAAAAGCAACCACCCTCAAACCCTTTTACCAAGGCTTAACATTCACCTCTTCATTTACATCATTATTGGGCACAAGCATCACAAATCGACATACCTATCCTTTACTATGCAGGATGTTTGTCACCTAGGACCTAATTAACCTACCTAGCCTCCAACGAGTCTCCTATAGCTCGGTGGTAGAGCTTTTGAAGACCTAATCTGAAGGTCCTAGATTCGTCTACTATTGGGAGTACTCGGCAAAGCTGTGCCCTTAGGAAAATTTAATGGAGCCCAGTGCTTTAAAACCGTGAAATCCAGGGTGCCCAGCATATGCTTCGTATGAAAAACTAAAATTCCTGAGTCGCCCAATAGCAAAAGTAAGGCGCCAGGGACCACCGGGCGCTGCTTGACCACAGCCTTGCTCGGAGTTCTTTTATTCCGAGTATGTCTGTATCATTCACTGAGTAACATCATCGTTGACTTAGATCACCAGGCTTAAAATTTATCATCTTCATTTACATCATCATTGCGCAAAAAATAAATGTCACATGACTATACCTTTTGTAATAGGTAGCTCATAGACTCTGATAAATGTTCGTCGCTCCCGATACTACTTCCTGACTCTGAGTATACTGACAAGGCTCGCATTTGAGATAGCACGCGCGGAAGAAGCTGAGTGACGGGCATGGCTCCCTCGCCTTCTATCTTTAATAACGTCGGGAGCTGTTCAAGACACATGTTCATTGAAGCACGCAAGCAAGCCATGTCGACTTTGCTGTCCAATGAGGATTCCAGAAAAAGCGCAGTGGTGTTGTTGATGTCTCTGTACAGCTTGTCCAATTTGCGAATAAATTCCGAGGCACTGTGAAGTCAGTAAAGGAGTAATCTAAGAATTTCCAGTTAATAACTTTGTATGGAACGATGCGCAGAAGGCAGCCCATTTTACTGATACAACAGGGGACCTACAATGTAATATTTTAATGGCGAAAACCATCGTCACGTACTTTAAATGAACTCTTGCAGGTCCGCAAACAAATCAGCAAAACTCAAGTACAGCTAAACTCGTATTTCGTTTAAAATAAGGATCGATAACGTTACATTTGGGCAATAATTCATGGGTAAATATACTTTTAAAGACTTCGTTGAGAAATGAGTTCCGCTGCAAATATCATTGCCTTTTCTTCCCATACTTAGAAAGTTTGAGAAAGTATTAAACCAATCTGAAATAAAAAAACTGATCGCCCCCACGATCAAACTCACCGCGCTTCATTGTATTCCCGTTCTACACTGATATTCAGCCCCAGGGCCTTCACGACGCTTACATCTGCGTCCTCTGACCCAGTCTTCTCTCTAAACCATTTGCCATATTCGGCCGGGTCCACATTAGTCGGTGGCACTGGTAAGCTTATCGAACCGAGGGTAAGCGAAGAGCGCTGTTGCAGGGCAGTCTCGCTTATCACTTGCCGTGTCAGGATTTCCACGAAACGACGATCCCACGAGTCTGTAATTTTCCCGCCATAAATTCCCTACAAGAGTTTAAGCAATCGAGAAATTCTAAATCGAAAAGGGAGTAGATCCTGTTCCCTTTCGTTCCCAATAAGTCATCAGGTTTCGTTAACATTTCACCACTCCCAATTTATACTCTTCAATAGAAAAAATCCCTGTGGAAGTAAACACATAGATGATTATCAAAGCAGAGGTGACTATGCCACCGTAGCGAATTTATATCAGCTCGTGTTACGAACGTTGGGCATTATCCATGTGCCTGGCGAATACTTCAAACATCAGCTCATTTAACTAAACTTTGACATCCTAATCATGAATTGAAGTACTCTTTTTACCAGCCGACGTTGAATAAGTTTCTCTACGAGAAACTTATGAATAATCGCTAAACCGGGAGTCAACTCTAAAATACCAGAATCGCGTTGAGAGAAAGTCCTCATTCATTTCTAGGTTTCGAAAAAGGTAAATAATGCCCAAAATCTTACCCTGGCAATAACATCTGAAAGCGCCTTGGACTGTGACGCTCCTAAGCCCTCTGCCTTTTTGGCCCAGCCGATCACCATCTCAAATGACGTCAGTAAATCACGTGTAGAAACTGGATATCGACAGCTGGATGCTCGCGTTCCCAGCTGATGGCGCATAAGCAGAGCGCTGTGATTGACGCACAGACCAAACAGAGTTGAACGAACTGCGAGGAACTGGTCACGAGCTTGTTTCCAATAGGACTGAGGAACAGCCTGTTGAGAAAAAAAAAAGAAAAAAAAAAGAAAAAAAAAAGAAAAAAAAAAAAAAGTTCAGGAAAAGATCGTTACATAATACTACCGTGTCTACGAAATAGTTTCCATCATACCTTAAGTGTGGAAGTGATGACATTTTTCAAGTTCAGGTCCGTAGATTCTAGAGGCTGATATACAGGAACTTCTCTTTGCACCACGTCCCAGGCCAACTGGTGCGAGAACAACAGAAGTCCTACTGGTAAGTGATCCGCGGGCTCACAAAGCAGGAAAACACGCCATTGGGAAAGAGCGGACGATGTCTCTGAAGAAAGAAGAAAAGAAGAAATATCAAATGGAGTTACTTCCTATCCAATAGCGTCGTGGAACAAATTGCCGTCGGCTTGTGAGTCAGAAGTTCCTTCAAAACATTGTCAGAACACTCTTAAGCTAAATAATTACAGGAGCCACGTCCGTTACCTCTACCTAAGGTAATAACATACCTTAAATGCTGCGTCTAACATATGTGCTGCTTCTATATTAAGGTTCTCGAGATCTAAGTCAAAAATTAAACGCACCTGCTCGTAACTGAAGTCTGGACAGACGATTGTACAATTGCTCAAGCCAGTGACGGGAAGCCAGTTGAAGGTTCTCGATCACCAACCACGAGTCAGTCCGGACGGCGGTTGCTAAGGCAACGTCAATGCTTTCTTCCTGTCTGTGTCCCACAGATATCTGCTGACACTGCACATTGTGAGCCTGGAATGATAAAAGGAAGAAGTCGTGATCGTTGCTGAGACAACCTTAGTCTCACTAATGTAGTTCTTGAGTGTTTGTATTGAGCGTGAATCAAGCTGAAACCCTCTTAGCTAAGGAATGAGTCATTATTAACGCCTGGGGGGGAGGGGTTGGAGGATTTTGGTTATGTCACGATTTAATTTACCTGATTTACCCTAAGGCTCTGTAATATCCATACGATCCCTCCTTATTTGCAGTCAATTGTCGTGGCCCCTTTTATACTCTATTGGCGACGACGGATAACCCCCACTCTACCCCCCCGAAAAAAGTCTTCCACACCTCCACTCCCCCCCTCCCTAAAAAAGTCTTCCATTCTCCACCAGCTAAGGTGAATTCAGCTCCGGAGATAATGGTACACCGTCATTACTTACGTTGGGTTTGTTAGAATAGAAAACGAATCTAATGGCAGCGAATCGATAACCTGTTGAAATAACCATCTACGAACCCTGTTTTAAGCTGTTACATTGACAGTTTCACAAACGAAAAGTAGGTCAATAAATAAAACCGAAAAAAGAGAATTTTTCCAACTGACTGCTACAGTTTTCGTAAATATGCAAACTTACTTAGCTGGTCCGGATATGTTGGCCCTTACGAGTGATTTTTGGATGAGTCGCAGACGTGCCATTTGATGAAAAACCTCCTACTAAGAAAATCTCCTTTCATCAACCTGGAAAAGCTTCAATTCGTGTACTATACATATGCTGTGTATCTTATTTTTCTCGGTTAAAAATTTTCGAAAACTTTCGCATTTGTAGTCCTTTTTTTTACCACCATTCGACGATACATCAAGACATTGGAAAGTAGAAATCAGAAGGGTTTGAAAATTAATAAGAAAAAAGTCGAAGTGCAGCACAAGCACCTCCATTGACGCAGAAAATAAAATGTACAATTATTTACTATACGTTACCTCAGCCATTCGCCGTATGCTGTCGACTGGAGAAATCATGAACGGCGTGTTCACGGTCGTATGGTCTGGCATTAGCACAAAAACTGGAATCGAGTGCTTAATACCGGACAGCACTTCATCAAACTCCGGAAGAGTTCTCTCCATCAAGTCTCCAACTTCATCCTCCACAAGCATTCGCATAGCCCGCTCGAATCTGTCAGGTCGCAAGCAGCGAATCATTAACAGTTTATGAATTGCACTCAAGGTTGTGGTGTCGTCTGTGGCTTCAGTTTCTACAGGCAGCTGCCTCGTCTCAGGCCGCTCGCTTTCGTACCAGTCCTTCCATGGGCCAGGCTTAGATGCAATGTGAGTACAGATACCGTCCAAAGGACCCTTAAAACTAGAAACGGCAAGAACCAGCTCCCAAGTCTCTTGCGTGATCCAGCTCGGCTGAAGGAGAGTGGGATCGAAGTCTGACAATGCGGGGATTGAGGAAGGAATCGTGCCTGGAAATAGCAGGGGATGCAGAGGTTAGTTTAGGAATAAGATACTGGTGACAGACGTTTAATGTGGTCTAACCTGAGAGTAGGAATGAGATTTCTAGTTGTGTTGTTCCGCTCTCAGCACGTTTTTCCATTTTGTAGAGAGTGAGCAAAGAGGCGAACAACAGACGGTGATGTTGGTCTATGCTCCTGGAAGAGAAAAAAAAAATCAACAAAGTTGTAATTGCAACCTCTTATTCATACCTTTTTTAACTTGGCGAACAAATTCAAAAGATTTCGGGGAGCATTTGTTTCAGAGTTTACAAATTTGAATCGCCTATTTCTTAAAATCGTTGGTGATGGAACGTGATGGAAGAATTAGTCATTTGCAGCTTAGATAGATTGATAGGTTAGATGGCCACTCCCCATGGGGCTTTTCGGGGCTATTCTTACAGCACTGTCGGGGGACTTTACCAGACGGCTTGTAGCAGTTTACGATGAATCAAAGGAAGTTGAAGATGCCCCTTCCCCCCAATTCCCAGTATAACAAGCCAGACCACATCACAGTAATCTCGTGAGTGGGTTCTTTAACGTCCCCCGCCTAACCAAATTGACTGATTAATAGATGCAGGAGACGGGACCTACGCTTGATTCGTCCTTATCCGAAAAGACAAGAATGTCTATCCATTTCTTGATATTATAGAAAGGCAGCACATTCTCCTCGATTGTTTTACGACTTTGAGTGTTAGTCCGGCCGGGGCTCGAACCCTCGACCTCCCGCACAACAGTCCGGCGCTCTAACTAATTGAGCTAACCGGGAGTTACAAATACTAATACCTGCTGACATGGCGGTAAAATGACTGACTAAGCGAGTCCGTGAGCTGATCACTCTGTTCGGAACTGAGTGCTGTGTAGTCCACGCCAGGAGATGGCAGCTGTACTTCCGCTGGAAGGACAACAGACATTCGCTTCCGAGATCTCTTACGAGAAGAACTTTGCTCTCCTTCACCTATGGTATAAAAGAAATTTATAAGTAAGTTGCAATACTCTTGACGCACGAGCCAGCTAAAATTTATCTCTTTTGCCTTTTTCAACGAACAATCAGATCTTAGCATCGATCTAAACTTCAAATGGAAACTACTTGGTAATATTCAACCATGTGCTTACTAATAATGGCAAAGCCTTTGAATATGATGTCGTCCTTTCATTACTTTCAATGGTATCCCTAACAACCACAATCAATGTCTAACCTGTCCCTATAGTTATATTGTAAACACGTTGTAAAGCAAAAAGTTTCGACAAGGTCTTAAAATTCTTAGATTCTAAATTCACTGTACACTGAACTTAGTTTGGCTTCAGCTTTAACTGAACGTTTTGAGGAGCAAGACATACCCTGGGCAACAACAACTGTGTTCGTTTCTTCCTCTTCAACGGCCTTGATTAATATAGTAGTTCGTGATTCTTTCCTGGTTTCTTTGGTTTCTTCACCGTCCGACTCGTATTCAAGTTTCTCCTTGGATGGCTCCACATCTCGTCCGATTGCCGACCGGAACAGGGACAGGAAATACCCCAGGGAAAAGCGATACTCGTGCTGTACACTGGACAGGGAGCTCAACAAGGAGAACATCATCACCGCGCGCTTGGCCAGTGGTTGGAAAAGTTCGCGCAGGCTCTTCAGTCTATTAAAGTTGTTCAAGGTGTGGGTCAAACGTTTAGCAACCTGGAGCGAAAAAAGGACGCAGATAAATCGAGTCATAGTATTATCTAATAATTTCAATACATCAACAAAGTTGAAATGGTAAATTGGCCACTGTTACGATTATAAAAGCTGACGTTACGAGCGTTAGCCCTTCGTCGGAGCGAATAGAGGAACTGGCAGCCTAAATCCCACAGGTATCAACGAACGCTTTTCATTCCACTAATTTATTCGTGTTTTTCTCGTTGCCATGTTCCCACCAATCACGCAGCTCCATTTTCTGCCTTTAAAAGCACACACAACCCACAATTCCTCTATTCGCTCCGACGAAGGGCTAACGCTCGAAACGTCAGCTTTTATAATCGTAACAGTGACCAATTTACCATTTCAACTTTGTTGATAGATTGGAATCATTTCGTTACCCCCACCGACGCAGCCCCAAACAGTTTCTTTAGAAACTATCAGCCTTTATTCATAGTATTATCTGTTGGCATCCTGAAATGCCAGTTTAATTTGATGCGACTTCGGTAGTAGGAAATCACGACTTAGGCAGCCTTTTCACTCGCTTAAGAGATAGTTTGAGGATAATTTCAATCTAAACAATGTTTATCAAAGGAAACACGCAAGACTACGAATGGAATTGAAGTCCCATTCGACCCTCAGCTCTCTTCAAAAGCTTACACCGATATATTGGACTATTCTCTCAAAAAAGCTCTCCTAAGGAAAGTGATTAAGCGGCTGCTTTAGCACAGACTTGCCTACACGCCATTACGCCCTGTCCACCAAGCCAGGACTAACGCTCACCTCACTCCTAGATTTGACAAGCTCAGCTATGACCTCAGTTTCTTCCCAGATGTCTGTCCCTTGCCGCGCTGTGACTAGTCCCATCAACTTGCTATCGATGTTCTCCAGTAGCCTCAACAGCTCCATCATTAACATCAAGCTTTTGCGGCTCTCTACGTACAGTTCAGGCTGCACGCGGTGAAAAGCCTCGATCTGGATCTCCTCAGCCAAAGCCTCCCCGTCCAAGCGCAAGTTCACCATAGTCGTGATCGAAGACACTTCTGTGCTGAAGGCCGGTCGAGAGGATCTGGATACCAGGTACAAGCGGAACTCCGGGTGACACATGACGCGACGGGAACCGAACTTTACCATTTGGAAAGCTGGAAGCAAGCAGGTGAAATGAATCACTGTAAAACTTAAAAACATTTATTTAACGGTTACTAGGCTAAAGGATATCAGGAAAGAACAAAGAAAAATACATAAAGCGCCAAGTAAACATGATGAACCGGAATATCAAAAACCTTTCTTGTAAAGATTATTGTTTATTATTATTCATATTAGAAGCTTCGCCCAAACCCTCCTTAACAAACAGAGGGTATGGGCAACTCGGATATGGCCATTTGTACATTGCAGACATTTGTTTGTTGGCTATTGTGCTGTGAAATATGGAATCTTTTTTTAAGTCGTGGATTCAAAAATCAAGAGCCATTCAAAATCTCCTAATGAAATTATGTTTTCTTGCCTCTAAGATATTTTACTTAAATACACCAAATGAAGAACAAATCACGGTTCAGGAAAACTGAAAAACGTCCTAATGCAAAGCACAAGTACCAAATATGAGACCGTATCAAACCTTTTTCAGTCTCTTCACTAATGGATGTGGTGATGTGGTAAATAAGAGGCATGAACAGCGAGTCAATATCGCCATCGATATTGTACAACACCAGAGCTGTACCACTTGTTATCGCTTTTTCAATCTTCAGAATCGCAGAAGGATCACTGAAAGTGGAAAATTAAGGACTGATACCTTTTGTTACTGCAAATACTGAAAAATTGAACGCATTTACAAAGTCATGTCTGTGTTATTAGTTGCGACTTGATCACTTCTGCGATAAGAGAATTCCTTGTATAAGATGTTGTGGAGTATTCACAGTTCAAGTCATTGCATTCTCAAAATACATACTATTTGCATACCTCTCCGCCAAATCAATCTCCAGCAAGTTCTCTCCATCTTCGATGATCCTAATCAGTTCAAGTCCCTTATCGTAAGGGTCCACAAGCAGAGGGACACGTTGCCATGACGACTTTGACAAGACTGCGTTCTCAATCTTTCTTGGACCCATTCCTTTGGTGACGAGCCTCCGCACGTGATTTTCGCCCAAAAGAAGCTTGAGTACAGCTAAAACAAAGGAATCGTATTCTGTCAATTTTGTTTGACGCAAAGCTTGATCTCTACCAATAGACATCATGTACTCTTCGGATTCGCCTTCTTTTTCCGCTGGTGGACCGTTATCCTCTTTCTCGCTTTGTTCCACGTCTTGCTTTTCTATTTCTGCGCTGTGCAGTCTTTCATTGTCGCCTTCTGGTTGAGTGTCGTTTGTATTCGCAGCTACGACAAAACAAAACAGGATACTTATAACTGAGTACAGGTAGCGTGGCCGAGAGTCGATAGATCTGAGATCTTAGTCAAACTTTCTACTCTACCAATCAATTGGAATTATTTCCTGTACAAGCGGGTTGAACTTTTCCAACAAGCTTGTCCCCCTTTTTCGGGATTTTTAGCAATTTACATCCCAACGTGTATGCATTAACGTTGTCCCCATCATAGCAAGAGGCACTCGTTGATCCATGGGGAATCAGGCTGCCACTTTGAAAGATAATTTTTTGTCATGAAGTATCATGACTTAAAGATTTGCGTTGTTGGAGAGAAGATTCAGGTGTTGTTTACCATTACCTTCAATCTCCTGATCCTTTCCTTCTTCTTCATTCGGATTTTCCTCTGGCTGTGCTGCAACTGTTTCCAGCTGTGCTGTAACTGTTTCCAACTGTGCTGCAACTGTTTCCAACTGTGCTTCAGTTGTTTCCTGTTCGCTTTCAGTCAATTTAGCGCTCCGAACAGTCCGTAACTGCTCCATCATGAACACCTCTGCACTGCCGTGCGGACCAGAGCTCTCCACCACCAACATCACACCGCGCTCATCCAAACACTGGGGCCAGTGCACTGTCAACATATCTCGGCGGAAATTGAACGAGTAGGGACCTAAGTAGGTTGCGAACGCAGCTGCCATGGCCACACCACCTGCGACAGCCGCTTTACGGGTGCTGATGGATTCGAGGAGCTGCAACCACTTTTGGCGACCACTTGAAAGCACCTTATTAAAAAAGAAAAACGCTTAGAGAAAGCTTTTATTGAACAAATCCCACCAAAAGAGCCAAAACGACTTTGCTAAAAACCAGAGTGTATTTTCCAGGAACCAAAAAAACCATTCCCCAACAAATAAGAAATCCTTAGGGTATGCTGGCCGCTTGTCAAATTTGCGCTTCCAATGTGACCTGTCTCGCTTAGTAGAAGTTCCTTAAGGCACAGATGGTAAAGCATCAGACCTCTACATCTTTGCCTCCGTACGAGAGAAAATCGAAGATTTTTTTTAAGAAGCAAATGGAATTTCAGAATAATTAACGTAACAGAATTATTCAAGGTCGGCGACGCAGTTTAACATAACAAAAACATAAAAAAAAATGTTATTTAATTAGCTCACCTCTTCAAAGTAAGCTGCTTGGGACAGCTGCGAGTCCAAAGTCTCTGTAAGCTCGAATTGCCGACACTTGTCAATGGAAGCCTCCTCGTATGCTAAGGCCAGAGATCTTAGGCGTTCTTCCAGATCCATCAGTTTACTCTCCATGGAGGACAATCTACCAACAGCGAGCTCCACTGCAGAGGACGTCTCAGACACTTTGGCGTGAAGGGGTTTCACTTTAAACTGCATCATGCGATGATATCTTGAAAGAAAAAGCAAACAAACAATCTACATTCAGTTAAGAGATACCCGAGAGAAAGGCATCGACATAATTAAGAGCAAGAAAGCAATTCGAGTATAACTGTGGCCTGGGATCGACTCCCGGACCACGTGGCGTCACATGCGAGTTGAGTCTGTTCATGCAGTTCGTCTTGGCTCCCAGGGATTGTCGCCGTTGCCTTCCTTCACAACAAAAACTACTACTTTTAATTTCCGATTTGGAAAGAGTGGACTATGAGCCAGTTCGTGAAGTAACACGACTAAATTCCAATTCATTCATATCATTTGAATTTAGACAAAGTTATCTTCACTCCAGGTATCGTCGTTTTAAAGACACTTTAAGTTGCCACTACAATTTAAGGGCCCTTCACTTTCAACCAGCATTTGATCGATGTATTATCAAATTCATTTTCAACGTGGTGATAAGTTCAACAAGAAGCTCACAAACTTCTTATAGTTGCCTTACTATTATCAAATTATATTTTTGTAACCATGAATGCCCGTTTTGAAATCTCTGTGGTCCCTGGCCATTACCTGAACACTCCTCTGACCCACTGTAGCAAGGAGCCCACTGCTGGGTTGCTGGTTTTCCTCTCGAGGTAATCGCCACTGAAGTGTGGTTTCTTTAGGTATGGTTCTACGACTTCCAGCGTGCTCGGCGTAAGTTCCATCTCGTCAAACACACCAAGTTCCTCTCGAAACCTGAAATAAGGATGATATCTTTAGGAAAGTTCATAAATGAAAAGCCAAATGATAAAAGTGGAATTTTCAGGATAGTGTCTTAAAAAACGTTAATTAGTTAACGTCGTCTTAAAATATTGAATTAAAGAGTCATCAACCAATGGCGAAGTTTCGTTTGTCAACCAGAATTATATATCAGAATTTTTCAAGCTTCACCTGTCTAAATTGGCCATGAGACGCTTAGCTCCCTTGTTCCAGGTCAAGTCAGATGATGGCGACTTAACTGCAAAATGAAAGGAGGTAAACAATGCTCAACATCATCTTCAAAATAATATGAGGGAAGTCTCAATTCTGTAAAGGTGACATCTTAAGAGGACCGAATTATACGTAGTAAACAAAAATCGACTTTCTCAGATTCTAATATGTCGCCACCATGCCACAGATTACCATGCGTACCAATAATGATGATTGCAGCTAAGAGATCTTCAATTTCATTATCTGGTTTCTGCAGGGCCCGCAATTCTGCCAGTCCCTGTCCATCGAGGATCTTTAACACTCTCTTGGTATCAGACACGACAGCGGCTGCCTTGAACACTGCTCGTTCGTGCGCTATCTGGTATTCAGGAAGAGCCTAGAAAGGAGAAAAGACTGTTAATTTCGAGAAAAATTCAAATCAAATTTCAATTCATGATTGTGTTGAAAGTGGCCTAGGATTGCATAAGTTTTGCTTTGTTAAGCTCTATCAGTGGTCGAACAAACCATTTCTACCCTCTCAACCACTCAGATACAAGTGTAAATCAATTGCAACATCGCAGATTGATCTGTGCGTCAATTCAAAAGTCAAGGAGATAGCTGACAAATTCGCAAACATTTTGCGTCTCAAAAAGATATTGCTTCGATTCTTTCGGTTCACTTGTGTATCTATTCCACTCTATAAAAACATCGATTTGGCTAACAGCTACGAAAATATTATTTCCAGAGGGCCCAATCTCATGGAGGGTACCAACATTTACAGGCAAGCTGGTAAACCATCTCTTGAAAACGACAACGTGTAGCTATTGCTGTAAGACGTTTAAATTTATTGATTTACCTTACTTTTGTATAGTATTAAATATATTAACCAGTAGTTTCACTAGCAACCTTTGTGGCTTCCCTTGGTGTTGATGTATGGGATCCCATGAAAATGGGTTCCCACTCCACTGATGAGCAAACTCGTGATCAGTGGGTAAAAAAGGAACAAAGCGTATGCAAGGGTGGGAATGAGTGTGTAAAATGAACATAAAAGTTAGGTGTTAAAATTGAGGGAGCGACTTCTGTAACAACAGCACGCTCCTAAACTCAGTTTAAAATTGTAAAAAATATGTGTTATATATTATTATTAAAATATAAAAAAATAAATAAATAAATAAATAAGTAAATTTATTGATTTACCTTGTTTAGTTTCTGTATTCTCTCTTGCTGTCTACTCACGAGTCTTACTTGTTCCTCAGCTATCGCTTTGTCCTTAAAAAGGAAAAAAAAAAAATATATCCTCTACATCATACATGATGCCGTTAAAGCCCACACAGTTTACTCACAATGTTCAGAAAATAATTTGGATATATCAACAAAGTTGAAATGGTAAATTGGCCACCGTAATGATTACAAAAGCTGACGTTTCGAGCGTTAGCCCTTCGTCGGAGCGAATGATTACGGTGGCCAATTTACCATTTCAACTTTGTTGATATATCCAAATTATTTCGTTACTCCCACCGACGCAGCCCCAAACAGTTTCTTTCGAAACTATCAGCCTTTGTTCAGAAAATAAGATCGGTTTTCAAAAAAAAACTGTTATCTGTTACCTGACCAATCTGTAGCAATAACTGAAGATTGCCCTGTAAAGATAGACAACGGAAATAAATCAAAACGCAATCAAAGTCAAACAAAGCTGACAATTACAGCATGCAGCTGACGACCGCAATAGACCACAAGACTTCAAACGGATGTGACGTATTCGAGTTACAGTAGCTACTGTCAGTAAACACTGAAAAATGGTTGGTATTCGGCGACCTCACAAGAAATGTTAAATAGTACCCAAGCGAAGGTGTACAGAAATGACTGCTGATTGAAATGAATTAAACAAACGTTGGAGACTGGTGTGATAGTTTTCACGGCAAGTACACGCAATTGTTATACGTGGAATAAGCGAAAAATTGTGCACGAAGTGTTGCTTGTCAATGGTACAGCAAATGCCATTTCTTTAATTATAAGTTAGAAGTGTCCATATCTCATGATATTCAATCATTGAGTTGTCAAAGAGCAATGACAGAAGCGATGGCAAAAGGAACGAAAAGTGAAATTTCGTGCCCAATTTACACGCTCTGGTAACAAACCTCTTTCTTCTGTTCAAGCACCATCTTTTCGTGCCCAAGCTGTGTCTTCAGTTGTTCGGCCAGCTGTGTTCCTCGCTCGATAGTTTGAAGAGCTGCTTCCATTTGTTCATGTTCGCTTCTTAAGGCTTGTTGGCGCTTTTTGATCAAGCATGTGAACCTGGATAGAAGAATTGATAAAAACAACAAGGATTTAGCTCTCGTACCCTTAGCCACTGAGTTACTAGCACTCCATTTTTTGAAATTGAACGCACTTTTAGAGTAAAGGTTATAGTGAGTATCTCTTTTATCCTTGCTATATTTTATTAATATAGTTTTTAATGAAATAAATTTCGTCACATATTGTTCCTCAGGAAAGAAGAACCTTCTAAAACATGCCCCGCTCGGAACGTGTGGCTTTCTAGCTCGGTTGGAAGTAGCACCCAACTAGTATCTCGGAGGCATGGGTTCGAATCCCGTCAAAGCCTGAATTTTTTTTTAGGCTTCTTTTCTGATACTGCTAAAACTGCACCTTACCTGCGAGGGTCATGGCTTTCAAGGATTTTTTTTATTCTTTCCTGAGAGAGGAAATAAGAACTTCGCAAAAGTAGCTTTAAAAAGGTGGGTTACCTTTCCACGAAGACTTCAAAGCCCGTATTGGTAATGTGTCCGTACGTTCCACATTGTTCTTCGCCAGAATCCTGTTGTTTTATGGACAGGTGCATGGAAGCCAGTAAATGGGCAAGATTTTCTGTCTGCACTGGTGAGAAAGTCTCGACATCTAAAAGGAACAACAAAAATGATTGTAGGGCGCACCAGTCTGAAGCGTACGTAAGTAAACAGGAGCCACGCCTTGCATTTTGAAGAAGTTAGCAAGGACTGCATGTGTCGGGTTACCTTTGAGGACATGATACGCATGCGTCACCAACGCTTCCTTGGACCAGTGGGGTAAGAGGATGATGGACACTGTGTTCATTAAGGAGGGAAAATCACGGCAGCGCTTCTGAAACTTTGGTCCAAGTGACGATACAGTCAGAACAACACGGAGGTTTTCTCTAACGGTCCTGATGAAGAGAAGTTAAATTATAACATAACCAAAGTAAAGCGCGCGCTCTGATTGGTCAATTTAGCGTTCCCCATTTGCCCATGGGTGTACGCTGCTGACGTGAGCAAATGCAAAGACTATTTTTCCGCGCGCGCTTGTTTTTTCTGGTCGCGTAAGATTTGTTAAATAAAAGGGAACTCTTTAGCTACAATGTATCAATGTTATGTTATAAAACAAATGGTAAACACCACAGCGTACACTATTGAGTTATGGATGCACGCGGGAGGTTTGCGTACAGTAGTGTACGCTGTGGTGTTTACCATTTGTTAAGTATATCAGGTTGAAACAGCAGTCACTATTTTGTTTTCAATTAAATGTTCCGTTTGGTCTCACGGACACTTCTGTTGCTTAAGTTTCACAGAAACATATTGGCCTACAACAGACCTACCGCCAACCTCAGAGTCTTCATGGCTCAGTTCTTTGAATATCTGTGAGGATTCTATAAACATGGGCTCACAGCCGGTTAAATAGATACAAACGAGGTACACTACAAATATAACATGTACAATACAACTATTTCGAGACATAAGATAAGGAGTGTAGAACTTACTTGAGGAAGAAATCCCATGCAACATCTCGTGTGTACGCCAGACCGGCCTGCGTGACTTCAGTTCTGACAGCGTTGATCACTGATGTCTGTTCTTCCTCGCTAAAAAGATGCGATATGGAGGAGGACACTAGGAACTCGCTTACATAAACAAGAAAGTCTTCGTCAGTCAAATCTGACTCCGGTAATAACAGCATTAAATGTTCACCCTACAGAGAGCATAAAAAACGGATATTTCGATCAGAAATTCGCTTAACGTAGTCATTCCGTTATTAGTTTTGAATTCAACTGATAGCTGATAATCACCTTGACACCTGCCCTTGTGTAGGCCGACACCAAATCTGCCTTAAAACTGTCCAGTGTGTATCTTTCAGAGGCCGTGAGCGCTGAGGAGTTGATTCTGAACACAGAGTAACCGCACAGGTGAGCTGCAAGCTGGGCTAGGTTTGTACTCATACCGGGAGACCCCTGTGATATTAGTAGGGCGTGGCCACATTCATGGGGGCTTTGGAGAACCCTTACAAGACGGCAGATGGTTTCCATAACATCCTGTCAACAAGCAGAAATAGACAGTTACTACGAAATATTTTCCATGTCCAATAATTGCTGCTAAGAAAAGGTCCGTGCTATGAGCGTAATGAACATTCATACTTTCGCGAGCCTTGAGCAAAAATAACAGACCAGTCATTTTCAGCCAGTGGCAATTAGGCAAAGACAAAAGATACAACTAACGAGAACTTTACCTCATAAAGAGTGATCTTAAGTCTTGGAAAGTCCTTATTGTACTCTTCAATTCCGTGCTCCAACACAGCTTGAACCTAACCAACATCAATAAAATAGCCGTTGAGAAAATTGATAACTTCCATACAGTGGAGGCAAAGAAGGCCAACTAATAGTGACATTCTTAGTTATTCTTCAAGGGCAAGTTTAGCAGAAGAATTTGGGTCCTAAACCTGGGGGTCAGAGCTGGGCTTTGTTCCTCTAGGGGCTTTCTCCTGATTTGTTTGGTTTTCCTCATCCACAAAAATCAACACTCCAAATTCAGGTTTGAAATGACAACAAAGTAAATACAGCCACTTAATGGATGCGCTAACACATCATCAATTCATCATCCCCTAAAAAAAGATCGTACTTTGCAAAGATCTAAGACTCAAGATTACTGTATAAGATAAAGTTAACCCACCTTCAGCATATCGGTGACGTTTCTATATGATAAATGTACGTCATCTTCGGTGCCCTCCGACGACCCAGCACCGATTACTTCACCCGTGCTTTCTTCAGAGTCCACCAGGTTCGTGAAGAAAGGGGTGGAGTTGGTCACAATTGACAGCTTTAATTAAAGAAAGCAGAGGCAATCAACGAATTCATGAGTACAATTTGCAACATGACGCAAAGTGCAATATGACGCTCGGCCTGAACAACGAACGAACGATTCAAAATGAGAGCGCGTAGGAGAAGGAACAAAGAACTAGGAAGAGAATCGATATAAACCAACCGGCCAGACGAGCAAAGGAACGTACAAGAGAAAGAATGACCGGGTGGAATAAGGAAAGAAAACCGAACAAAAAGATATGAGCGAAATAGGCAGAATGCTAACAGTCTGCAAACTTCTACGAACAGACAGAAAACGCAACCATTGTATTCCATTTGAATATAAACAACTTTATACATGAACTAATCTTGCCTCATTCATACCTGTTCGTCCTCGGTAAAGCGTTTCTTAGCAGCGTTCAGGAATGCCTGTTGGAATCTCTCCTTGTCAACTGAGTCAATCAACCGGCGGCCATAGATCCAGTCACATTCATGTTTCCATAGTAACAAAAGGTCTTGAGAGGCACAACCCGGGCGCAGTGTCAGGCAAAGGTTCCTGAATAGAAACGAAAAGAAAGGTGGCTTTAATTGAACCCAAGACATTTAGGAAAAAACCAAAGAGTTTTACGAAGTTATTTCTTTTCCTGCAATTTGTTCTTGGGCCGAATGGCATTTCCACGTTGGCTAAAGTTTGAGCGCAGTAGGGGAATAGAGAGAGATGTTACTTGTCTTGTCGTGCACTCGGAACAATAAACAGCCCCGAGGCTACCATGCGGGGCCGAAGGTCTGATATCCGATCCCACGTGGAGCCTCAGATTCCGTCTTTGTCACTTGCTATTTTCAGGAAACGGAGATTTAACACTATCTTTAGAGTGTATACTCTTGGATGAATTTCCAATTAAGTCTCAAAATTAATCTGATATTGCATTTATTGGTTTCCATTTCCTTCGCTTTGTGATTGGTCCTGAAAACTCGCGCAGTCCTCTCAACCAATCAGATGCAGAACCATACCAAACGCAAATTAGTCACTCGTGTCTCCTGTGCTTCAAAACAAATTTCCTGCTTTTACTTTGGGTTCACTCTTTGAGAAATTTCCCTCGCTATGTTGTGGTTATTTTGATTTTTGTTTTTTACGACATACAGTGAATCGTTCTCTTCATTCGACCTCTCCTACTACAGAAAGTCTGTATATATCCACACCTGAACACCATAGTCAAATCTGTCATGGTAAACATGTAGTGACATCTCTGTGATGTGGGCAGGAACATGCCTCGCAAGTGATCCTGGAGCTCTACAGTTACGTGACTAACATCTGACAGTAGATCCCGGATGGCCTTGTCGTGGTCACCAGACCCATGGCGTTGAGAGTGACCTTCAGAAGTCTCCTGTGATGCGTTATCATTGGCTGTGTGCTGAGACTGAGTTACGTGAATGATAAAGTGTTTCTCAAGCTGTTGAGTGTAGATATGGTGCAATTCATCTTGGCTGAAAGAGGAAATTAAAATTTATTGTTGGACTTAAGTGTGAAGACGTTATTGACCTAGAAAACCAAAGATTAAAGCTTCGTCTTCTTTTTTATACTGCTGTTGTTTAACACACATAAAAAAGGGAATTAAGACAATCACGGAGGGAATTCTCAGGAGGCTTTTCACTGAGGCTTATCTCGCCATGATTACAGAGCAGTAAAACTAAAAAAAAGCTAGATATTAGGAGGAAAAGTTTCGATCACAAAACTCTCTTTAGATAGTTTGTATTGTTTTTCTTTTTCTCAGTTCGTGAGCGGGCTGTATTCTACGAATCCTGCAATCTGATTGGTTCCGAGAGCGGGCAGTATTCTCCCCATCTGGCCCGCTCACGGCGGGCGGTATCCGTTTCGCTAGAGTCATTTTGCAGTACATCAAGCTTCGTTGCAATTTTTTTACAAATATATCTCATTCTGCCAGCTGGGCAGAATTTTTAAGCAAAGACTTGGGTCACGACCTTTTGGCGATAAATAATATTAATTCTTTCTTCTCTCTCGCTCTCAAATCACTTTGGTTTTTCAGCAAAAATTGAACTCGAAATCAATTTTGTGGAACTAAATTTGTTTATAAAAAGATTGAAACGCGGCCCAGAAACGATTTGTTATTTAATAATCCTTCACAAAAAGTAACTCAGAGGGTTAAAACGAGAGGTAGTAGCAGTTAACGATTACTTTAATTAATGTGACTTTCAATCGTTAATATCTGAATTCTTCAACACAATTTGTTCGTTTGTGAAACGTTGAGCGAAGTTTTGAGTTCTTCTATAAATACACTTTCGCCTATTCTTTGCAAGTCCCTTGAATTTGGATATTTCTACCGTAAATTTCACAACAGTAATCGAACGAATTCGATGAATAAAATTCGCATTAAATCCCTTTGTGTCTAGCTGGAAAGAGTCTCATTTATTTCAGCTTTTCGGTGGAAAAAAACCGATTTACACACACCATTACAGAAAACAAACAAGCAGACTGACAACTCCAAAGCACACACTTACATTCACTTACAATTTGACTTTCCGTGACAGTTTAAAACGGAGCAGAGGTAAATCTTCGAAGAGTAATCGTCTCCGGAAGTAAACGATACTTTTCGTAAGATCTCCGAGTGTTTTTTTTTTTAAGAGAAGATCGTCGCATAGTCATTTAACTCGCGCGTGTTTGTCATACCAGTACTGTTGTTTATTCAGAGGAATACACATTTTTCCTCTTTAATTGACAGGTGTCACATCATGACAGTTACTTATCAAAAAATGTTCAAAGTTTGCTCGGAAGCCTTTGAAGTTACCTTTACAAATAAAAATGTGCCCTCTGTCTTGAGTACCGCCCTCGGCCTACGGCCTCGGACGGTATCCAAGACCTCGGGCACAGTTTTTGCCAATACGGACCTCCGGCTGGTCAATAACAAAAATACACCGAATGCAAATATGACGTCCAATTTGAATTGCCATTGTTCTGGACTGACTAGCCTCGTCTTCACGTGGAAATACAAAAGGATTAATACATGTGTGAGAGGCTAGTCAGTCCAGAACAATGGCAACTCAAATTGGACGCCATATTTGCATTCGGTGCATATTTATGTACAACGGTCACCACCACAACCAACTACTTACTTAGGAAACGTGACGTTGAAAAGCGAAAAGTGGCGTAACAGTCGCCTGTTTAGTCGAGCTGTGGTGGGCGGAGTTTGTGGATTGTACGATGACAGGTAAGTGACGTCATGTATTTCCCGCCATTGGTGGGTTTCTGGGTCAATAACGCCGCCATGATCAATGTGTTGGCGAACTAACTGCTGAGCGGTCTGGGCACCAAAATTGTTTGCCTACGAGACCAAAGCAAAATAACAAAGATCAGGAGCTTATAAACGCAAATCATGAAAGCGAATTTGTCGTTTCTTTTTGCTCTTAACTAAATCAGGCAAGTTTTTCCCTTTGCGACTTCACGGAAAAAACGGCAGCGCAAAAGGAAAAGACTTGCATTGATGTCACGAGGGAAAACGAAAAACAAAAAAAATAAAACAGGACCACAAGCGTGTCACGGGTGAACTAAGGCCGAAAAATCTCAACGTCATTTTCTTTTCTCTCTGTGAAGATGGAAAAATATGACAAGGTGTCTCCTGACAAGTCTTTGGTCGAGAACTAACGGCCAGTTTTTTACCTTGAATAATTATCAAGCAGAAACTTTTCCAAGACAAAATTGATTATTTCTAGTTTAAACAGGGAATACCATTCCCTCCCTTGTGCATTTACTTGGGAAAATTAAAGCTAAAAAACAGTAAAAGTGACTTAAATATTTCAATTTAAACACTGAAGTTTGGATTTCCAATCACACGGTTGCAGTCTTAAAATTGACCAACGCTGAAAGTACATTATTCCCAGATATAGTCGTTAACTTACTCCGCTCAGATTAAGATCGTCGATCAAACAAGTTAATCTCTTGTTTCCTTTCGGTACGAAAGTTCTGGCGTGTTTCCATTCCAGGCAAGATGACAGTTCTTTCCACAAGCTTCTAGATGTAGTGAACTTGTTACAGAACACTGTCAAACTTAAAACCTCCCCAATATCTCCGCCATGTTGTTTGAGTCGATGACGCAAGATAGATGTCTTTCCGCAACCGGCTTCTCCAACCAGTAAAACCGGTTTTCCGCCATCGCTCAGCAAGCCAACAAGGTGAGAAATACGCTGTTGACAAATTAACAAGTTTAATTGATTTACCAAGAAAAGCATTCAAAGACTCGCAATGCACACTCCATTGAAAATATGTGGGCAAAGTGATATGGATGCTGCAATACTGCGTCAAGACGTACAATGAGTTAGACTTAGTCGGACCAAACCTTTTCATTATTTTCATTCAGGAGTTTTTAGCCTAAATAAGCAAATTCAGCTTAGTTCTGACCTCATTCTGTATTGTGTGAACATATGCTTCATTAGGGATGCCTTCAGCTGCCGTCTGTGAGTACGGAGGAACTGAGTCAGCCCAGCTGAGAAATTCTTGAGTCTCGGGAAACACGTAGTAATTCCACACCTGTTAAAACATGAATATTGCGCCGCTAATGAGCGTTTATTAGCAACATTTGGCTTTGATAACGGCGCTGGGCGTTTAAAATGACAAAAAAGGACGATGAAACAACAAACTAACAAGTTAACAGCCTTTAAAGGCCACTGGAATCTTCGTAAGTGTCATCAGCATGGCAGGGCCAAAATAATGGCTTCCGTAATTTCAGTTACACTCAACTTCATCAGTACATCACTTCAATATCATTTCGACCGGATAAGAAAGTTAATATCACACTGTGTTAGGGGAAGGACTTGAAATAACTAGCGCGTTTGATGTTGATAAATTATTGAAAATGCATAAAAAGTCACTATACATCTCTACGCGTGGACGCTGCCTTCGTTAATCAGTACAAAGTTCTCTTCGACGCCCTCGTTTCGGTAACCTCAGTCACACCTTGGCTCGGAAGTGTATTAATTTGACTTAGTGAGATAACAAATATGACATGGCTGCTAAGGAGAGCGATTTGAAATAATCGGTGTGTCCGAAGCAAGCGAATGCTTAGAACTTGCATAAATAAGCGCCATATATGTACGTGTGGCTGCTGTTTCCATTACTTATCAAACGTCTTCGCAAAGCTCTTGCTGAGTTTAACTAGAAATTAGTACTATGGGGGTAAGCATGTATACATTTGATCACCGACCTCTTCGTCGCCAGGGAGAATCACATAATCTTTCCACTGTTCTCTCCACCACTGACTGAAAAACGGACGATGTTCTTCCACTAACGTACCACCAAAGGCCCACATGGCAGAATAGCAGAAATAATTCTCAAGCTCTGGTGGCATTAAGTCTGAACAGTTTGAAATTAGTGCCTACAAAACACAAATTGACATGCCAAAAGCAGCTGAAGTAAGCCTATAAATATCTCCCTAACAATACTCTTACATACTGGAAGCTTTCGGCTTCAAATCTACGCCCTTTTTATTTTGCAATATTTCAAAAAAAAAAAAAAGAAAAAAAAACAAAGGTAGTCTCGATTATTTTTAGACTACGACAGACTCATGGGCAAACTTTGAAAGAAGTCGATTTTTTTAACTGAAATGCACCAGACCGCTTTTAGAGAGACTGCGTCTAAAGCTCTGCCTGGCTTATACTATTGTGTCTTTTAGTTTCCCCAGCGCTACTCTCAGCCCAAGAGTATATTTGAGTACCAGCGAAATGTTAGAAAGCTTTATAACCGAAGTAACAACCTGTCCAGCAAGATTAGCATACTCGAAGCCGCCTTATGCTGAACCACAAGGATATACTTCAACACTAAAGTATCACAAAGCTTTTATTTTCCAACCTGGTGACAATAATAAAAATTACCAATCCACGATCGAAAAATCAAAAGCCTACCTCTACTAAAGACAGCAGAGTGTTCACCATACCCATCTCGCTGACAGGTACCACGTGACGCAACTTAGACGGTTTGTTTTGCGTTGGTGGTGCTCCTGAAATAGGGGGGACCGATGTTTTGGAAGCCAGGTACGCCAAAGTTGGACCGATATAGCGATCACAAAGGTTTCGTAACTGATCTGCCTCGCGTTCAGAACGCTTGGCGAGCCAACGGTCAACCAAAAGTGGCCAGTTGACATCAGAAGTGTTCATACAGAGCATGCCCACGGAGGAGAGTACCGCTGGACTAAGATTCTCTAGAGTTTCCAGCTTGAAAAGAAAGTCAAAAAGGTTTTGAATAACAAAGTCTAATGTGGCTTTCACGGGCAGTCATCAAGAGTCGTAACCAGAAAAGAACACTTAAAAAGATTATCACCTCCCAAACGATAAGCAAAGCATCTGGAATTTTAATTCGTTCGTTGTTACCAATAACTACAGTTCCTGAAAGCAAATAAATGGAAAGTTAGTAAAAATGACCAAGAAGCAACTATTCCAAAATATTCCTATATTGGCAAAACTAATGCAATCTTAGATAGCCGTAGACACCCAGTTATATTCAAATTGCTCAACTACTTCATCGCAGCAAATCAGTGACTGATATACTAACCTGTATTCTGTACCACTGAACCAAACAATTCCATCTGCAATGGATCGATCTGTTACCGAAATAAACCGAACAAGTCGTACGTAAGTAATGGTTTTATTGAGGTAAAATAATCATTCATTGTGGGTACATTACCGTCCCGTCCAAGTGAAGCCATTTCATCAGAGGCTTTCCCGCAGCTTTGCTTTCTGTCTCCTGGAGACGCAATTGCTGAGCCTGTCGTCTTAAGAGCACAGTTAGGACACCATCTCGCCATTCTCTAGATGAAAAATAAAACAGAGCTAGCTCCGCTGCTATTTAATCTCTAGGATTACTTTTTTCAAGTCGGTATCTACAATCTGGTAAAGGTAATTCGTATAGCATCATCGAAACGTTGAGGGTATCTCTAAAAAAAAAAAAAGAAAAGCTGTTGTTTTACAGTGATGTTTTGACAAACAAAAGTTACATTGTAGGACTCCTAACTGATTCTCTTTGCAACAAAAGATCAAAGAAAGAAAAATAACTTATGGGGAAACGTTTAGAGGCAAGCTAGAAAATCGCTAAAGGAAAATGAAACCTGTGCTTAGCCCCAGTGTTACTCTTGTTCGTATATTGTACACTTCAAGAAATAAAAAATTAAGCCACGCTTTGATAATTTCCCTGTGTTCAAATTCCGAGTGCGTGACAAAGAAATGATCCAAGTCTTAAGTGATAACTCAGACCTCGTATCAGAAAAAGAGATAACAAAATTTAATCCACCCCAAGCCCCCCCAACCTGCCTCCTTTTACACACCTAGTTTCAGGGTCTACATATCCAAAAAGTTCTTCTGACTCTACAGCCTCTGTGCAGACTATGTCTGTCTTAACCAAGTGTCCCATCTCTCTGTGAGCTGCACCCAAGGTCCTGATGCACTCGGTTTTACCACATCCACACGGTCCACTTATACACACCTGAGATACAAGAACGGTTTATCAAACAAGTTTGTTTGTTTTCCTTACTCTTTGCTGATCTTTTTGCCTGGATTAGCTAAGTGGTTGGTTATGAATATGATTTTTGAAAAATTTAGAAGAAGTTGGAGCTTTAATTCCATATCTCAATCTTGGAAGCACATCTTCTGTTGCGAGTACTTAGTGTTTGTTCCAGAGCAAGTGGAATCGGGGTATTATAAGTTTTTTTTGTTATAGGATAAATGTTTCAAAATGCGGACACATCGACGAAGAAAGAGAGTTACGGAGGAACGCACACAAGTTCTTGCCGCTTTTAATTATCGCGGTCGGACCAACAAATATTAGCTATAAAACTCACCAACTTATGTGCTTTGACAAGCTCCGCCAATTGAGCCACTCTGGCTTGAAAAGCGGCACCAGGTTGCAGACCAAGTTTGCCTGTGGCCACTTTTATAGCAGACTGCATATCACTTAGCACTGAAAACCAAAGTTTGTCAATTAAGAGCGAACCTATGTGGATATATGAACCTATGCGGATATACTGTGAATAAACCGTTAATATTATTATTATTGTTATTATTATTATTATATTAATATTATTATTATTATTAATATCGGAGCTTGATTAACGAAATGAGTAGAACTTTCAGATGTGTGAAATTTGTAAGTCTCTACATGAGCTCCCTTGGCGTTTTCTCAGATGAATGCTCTACGTTCTTAGACATGATGAATGACATAGGCATTGCCAAAAAGCAGCAACTTTACATAATCAAGAAAATGATGAATATAGCTATTAGAGCAACATATTACTTTAACATAGTCTTTTGTTGTAGAAATAGGAATTGGGACAACCCAGATTTGATGCAATTTTGATTTTTGTATGTGTGTTGAATAAGCCAATCTCAAGCAGCATTTGTAAATTGCCTATACGTAGTGAGATTTACAATTGTACATTTAAAAACACAACTAAAGTTTCCATTATTATTACTATTATTATAACTCATCTTTGAAAAAGGTTTTGATACATTAAATTATCGACGTACCTTCTAAATTATCTGCACCGGGTTCACCGGTCTTAGACACCACAGGAATCTCCTCTAAATTGCTCACTTGCTCATTCATTTGCATCGTAGTCCCTTGTGAGCCGTAATTTTCAAAGATCATTGGAACCTGAACATTGGGGAACAGGTCTGCCAACAAAGTGGCGAACATGACAGCATCACTGCCGTCCAAACCCGGCATGAACGTGTCTCGTAAGGCAAGCACAACAGCATGCTCCTCGAGTTTGAGCATTTCTTGCACGTCTTGCAGATCGGATGCTTCCTGGTTTTCCACTGGTGCCAGAAGTTCTGAGTGAAGAACAAACCCAGCACACATAGAATCATAAAAAAAAATTGCATCAGGAAAGGAGTTCTACTCGTTCCTAATCAGCCGCAAAGGAGAGACACGATTCTGAGTTTAAGGTAGAAACAAAAGCTCACAGTTTGAACATGGTCACCTTTATGACACAACTTACCATCATGTCTGAGTTCTTCGAGTGGTGCATTCACAGTAGTAGCAACTTCAGTCAGAGACTCTGCACGTTCTGGAACATCTTCCTCTTCGTTCGAGGGCCCTTTACTTTCCGGGACTAACACGTGAAGCTCTTCAGAAGTTGTGCCAAGATGAGACCCTGCATCTTCAATCATTCTTTTCAAAGCATAAGCCCCCCAGCCGACACACTTTTGAAGACATAAACAGAGATCTGCCGGGAGAGGTTTAGAGGAGCTTGGAAGTAGTTGCAGACAGAGATTCCTTAGGGTCACAATCTTGGATGCCAGAGGGGAAACCTGCGTGAAGCCCTGGCTTAAGAGCCATACCTGAATGATGACCTGTAGATCAGGGCCAACAAATTCCACAGGACGGAACATCTCCCACAGATCCACAGGAAGAAAAGTGGCGGATGGCTTGAAGGACGGAAAGAAACCCACTGATGGATCGTATTTCGTTTTGTGCTGGTCGACAGAGTAATTTAATGTCCCAAAGCAAGCGCCTTGCGGCACTAGTGCTATCTCATCGTCGTGAAGAATAACCGTAGACTTGCTTGCTTTCAAACCATCAAGAACGACTGTCACAAGTTGTGTTAAAACAGACAAAACGGGTGGCTGAATGGTCGAGATGTTATTAAGACAAATCCAAGCACCTATTGATAAAGACAAGAAGATGATAAAGGAAAGTACACAAACAAAGATGGCTAGGCATGTGATAACAACATAATCTTAAAGGATCACCGAGAGATATCATAAGTTAAGTTACCGGGACTTTCGAGAAACGGGCCCCAGCGCCGCAAATAGAGAAACATCAGTATCAAGAAAAACGACTGCTAGAACCTAGACAAAGGTAACATAATTTCTCGTTATGATCCGCGTGTATTCCAGGTTTTATTCTACCGACTCACAACAAGCAAGTTACATACCAGAACAGGCAAGACCTCTGAAGATGTCGATCAGAGTGCTTCTGTTCATTGGCGCGGAGCAGTTGAATGTGTACAGCGGATTCCCTAGGATCCTGGCCAGTTCGGTTATTGTTTCTGTCTTTCCAGCTCCCTAAATAAAGAAAACCGCACTTGTACCATATACGGATGTCTTCCATTCTCTCGGCTTATTTTAAGCTCAAAACGACTGGGATTATTACTCCTCCTAGTAGAATACAGAATTTTTCTCCGTTTTCCCGGCCTATTCGCCAACAATAATAGGGACCTTAAGCAACCACGACGGCGACGCCAAGGAAGACTTCGATTAAAAAATGAATTTCTACTCTTGCTTAGAATTTCAAAAATGGCTGCAGGAGCTTACTGTCTCATACAGCGCCGCCGCTCAACTTCAGCATGACGTATAAAGTAACTGTTGAGTTCCAAATGGAAGTTAAGATAATTTGCCGTCGCGGTTTCGGTTCACAGATAACGCAAATTTTGGCGATTTCACGTTATTGTTTTGCATAGGACGGCTAAATGTACAAAGTTTCAAAATGCACGTACGGAGCTATTGTTCTGCCAATTAGATCTCTTGTTTTTCCACGTCCTCGTTACCGTCGCCGTCGCGGTTTCTTAAGGTCCCTGTTAATGGTCAAGTGACTTCCCCGAAAACACAATGGCCTTGGATGAACTCCAGCTCGAACAATTCGATCCCATATCAATGCGACGTCTTTATGGTCAACAATAAGTTAATTGTACCTAAGAAATGTACTGAGAATTTAAGGCTGTTTTTAGTCCACTATTCGTCGTCAGGTTTAACCCGCCTTTGTTGCATTAATCTTCCGTCGCAATCATTGAAACCTGTTGATAATTAGCAACGAGAGAATGTTCATTAATACTTACAAACTCGCCCGTAAAAACTCCGACCATTCTAGTCTTGACTGCTTGAGCTAGACCCACAAAACACTTATCCGTAAGAGGACTGAGAACCAGTCTCGATGTAGTGCCCTGGTATTCGAATCCGTAATCAAATTCCATGTCTAAGATGTCGACTTTGAAAGCCTGCTGTTCTTCTTCCCAGCGGCAACGTGCGTGACACTGCCAATCAAAAGTGTCAACTGGGTTCTTGAGTGCTTCCCACTCTTGTTTATGTTCGATCAGTCTTTGAACCAAGTTCCTCTTGTGTGATAACATGGCGATGATATTACTAATCTTCTGAATCTGGCTTGGAAATAGCAGCATCTTGTTGTTCACGCCTTGAGGTTTTACTTCATCCGGTTCAGGTAGTGCCTTCTGCTTCTGCGACACTCCGGAAATGTTCGAGACTTCTTCGTCGTTTTGTGCCACAGCTGTACCAAGCCGATCTTGACTGGCACTGGTGTTACGACTCATCTCCTTCATAGCTGCTTCCTCAGGGTCACCATCACTATTCACGCCACTGTCGTAATCAACGTCAGCTTCTTGTGGCTTGCCTTCCTTGTCGGCGCCTTTCAGCATCATTGCTGTGGCTTCTAAAATCGTGGTTAGCTTGTCGTAGACTTCTCGTAGGGCTTCTCTGTTCTCGCCGCTTGCCACCTGAGATGAAAAAGTATTTACAAAATCAACGAAAGTTAATGGGAAATTTTCGATCAGATAAATGAATAATAACAATGTACGACCGTGAAACGTAGCCTGTGATACCATCATAAGTCAAAACCAGACTGCAAAACGTATTACTCTATATCTAACGCGAATGTAAGGGACTAAGAGATATCTAAGTCTACAGAAATATTGAAAGTTATGAAAATCCTTTTGTGGGTGTAATGCGTTACCCCTGCCTATGCCACAAGAAACTCTTGTTGGACAGGTGAAGCATTTTGCTTCAGTCATCGCCGACGATCTTTTTCACCTACTTCCTACCACGGGTGATCACAATTTTCTAATGATAGTTTATCTCTTCGCCTTTTTACACCTCTAACCAGTTTTGCCTTCCTTCCGAAAAACAGATGAACACCTTTGTTACAAGCTCTACACAATGTAAAGTGAATACCTGTTTCAGTGATTTATCAATCTTTTTACACAATTCAATTTGTGTTGCCAACAAAACCACTTCAGAACAATTGTCCAGAGTGAACGATCTCTCCACTCTGCCCATACTTCCGGCCGTCCGTGGGGGCTCGTCAGGCTGGGCTGCACCCTCAGCGTTGTCAGGCTGGGCTTCGTTACTTTCCGGCTGGGCAGGAGTAAGCACTGATGTGAGTTGATCCAAGAGAGTTTGCCTCAGGGAACTGATCAAGCCAGGGAGCCAGTTATCAATTGCACCTTCACATAGCACGGACTGGAATGAAATGCTACAAGGTTAACTGGATATCAGACATACCTAAGAGTCAACGTTGCGTCTCTCGAGCCCAATGGTCCATTAACCCTTAAGCCCTAAGAGTGACTAGCACCTTCTTTCTCCTTACAATATGAAACGTGAATAACATATTAAATAAATAATAAATAAATAAATAAATAATGACCTTTATTAGCATACTTCCACATAGTGGCTCTTCGCTACTAATATAAAAACTAACTATATACATAATACTTACAATAAATCAAAATTGATGAAATAGTGAATAATAAAAACTATACTAGATTATCCATTGCATGTCAGTATGTGTCTCTTAAGATTTATACAAAAAAAGTGCATGGTCACTGCAATTCCTCAGCTCCGCAGGAAGCTTATTAAAAGCTTCAGCAGCTTGGTCTTGAGAATGAAGGTCACGAGAATGAAAGAAATGATCAGTGACTAAAAATTCTCATGATTGTTAGACTAATTTTCCTTGCCAACGCCCTAGGAAATGTACAGAGAACAGTATGGAGAATATGCATCAAATATGCGAATGATATGGTGCATAGGGTTAATTGGGGAGTTTATCCTGATTTTAGTAGCACAAAATGCATTCCTTCTCCTAATAATACCTATCAGACAGCCTTGCAACCTTTATTTATATTACAGAAGAGAGCCTTAAGAATAATTACTTTCTCTAGTTAGAGTGAACATTCAAGTCCTTTATTTA